ATTACACACTTTAGGGCAATTTTTTATTTAAAAGAACTCTAAGATTACTCTTTCAATAAAGAGAAAAAATTAAAACCTCATTTGTTTTACATATGGAAGTGGTATGTTTTTTAAGTGGACACATGACTGTTTATAGCATATTTATATATATATATAAAAGCACATATATACTTGTGTATATTGTATATAGTTTTACTGGCTTATTGCCTATTTCCTGCACTTTTTTTCTATTTCTTATTTCTCTTACCCAGTCCAATTTTGAGCAAAAATAATTTTTCCCCCAAATAATTTCTCCACTGAAGGATTCTGATTGTCAGAAGTAACAGTACTAAACCTCAAGGCTGGAAAGATAAAGGTGTAAGCTATGCTTAAACCCTCTACCCAAAAGACTTCTACTATTTTTTCAGCTTTTCTAATCAAGCAAGACTTCCAGAGTTTTGCTAATAACCAAGAGAGGACAAAGTTATGACACAGCTATTGTCTGTTCAACTCTGCACCAAGCAATAACCCTGCCTAAGTCTGCTCCTCCCACCACACCCCTCACAGCTGTCAAAGGAAAATGTGAAAAAGGAGGGAATCATGTAAATAATTACAGTAGTAGGTACTGAAGTCACTGAATTGGAAGAGCCATAAATTCCATTATAGTTGCTGTACCTTCCTGTGGGTACATGAAGCGCTTGAAGTTTCCTTGCTGGCTCAATTCTCTTTTGTTTTCCCTCTGACCAATGATTGTTCCAAAGATTCAGAGAAATCTGTGAGCCAAGACTGATCAAAGCCAACGGATCCATTTCATTCATTCATGCATGCATTACTATTTATGATTCTAAGCACTTGGGGATTGTTCAGTGAGCAAAACTGGTATGATCCCTGGTCACCTGAAGCATTCTCTCTAAAGAACAGATCCTACGATACCTCCTTAAAAGCACGCTAACCAGATGACAATTTATTATCATGATGTATATTATGAGCACTTGCTTTTTAAAAAATTTCCTTCAGGGCGCCTGGGTGGCTCAGTTGGTTAAGCGACTGCCTTCGGCTCAGGTCATGATCCTGGAGTCGCGGGATCCAGTCCCGCATCGGGCTCCCTGCTCAGCAGGGAGTCTGCTTCTCCCTCTGACCCTCTTCCCTCTCGTGCTATCTCTCATTCTCTCTCTCTCAAATAAATAAATAAAATCTTTAAAAAAAATAAAAAAAATAAAAAATTTCCTTCAAATTTTCATTAGACTAATACACAAAATAGCCATTTCTTTTAACTCCAACCAACCAAAAACTTACATAATCAGACTTTTCTACTGTTTTGTACTTTCAGAGGAAGAGACATAGGGGAGGAAAACTGAAAGGGATTTTCTTTGTAAATCTCCCAGGCCCCATAACAGAGTCATTTTAGGCCTGGCCAAGTCTTCTACAACCATAATTCCACATGCAAGATTTGCATATATGTGTGTGTGTATGTACACACATATATACAACACATATATGATGTGTGTGTATATATACACACATATGTATGTATATGTACGTATATCCTGCGTGTCAAATCATATATATTAGACACACATATATACATACATGTATCTTTTTTTCAACCAACACTGCTTCCTGAGTGGAACCTTCGAAAAAAGACCTTTGATTCTTCTAGAAACCTTGTTGGATTTTGATATAGGAAAGTGGGCCTGGAGTGAATTTTAGCCCCATAAGCACGGAAAAGTTAAATGACACTGAATAGTAAAAAATAATTTAATTTTGGGGGCAATCAGAAAGGAAAGAAAGAGGAGGGGGAGAAGGGCACAGAGCCAACCAGATTATGAGCCCAGAGCTCCCCTGTGATGGTGGCCAAAACGCATTTTAAGGGTAGAGATGCCTAATACTCAACATGAACACTGCTGGCACTGCTATATTATAAACCTCTTCTTTGCCTCTCCTTTCCTCAAATCTTCCAAAAAGCTAACCACAGGGGCACCTGGGTGGCTCAGTCGGTTAACTGTCTGCCTTTGGCTTGGGTCATGATCCCAGGGTCCTGGGATCGAGCCCCATGTCAGGCTCCCTCTTCTCCCTCTGCCCCTTCCCCTGCTTGTGTGTGCACTCTCTCTCTCTCAAATAAATAAAATCTTAAAAAAAAAAAAGCTAACAACACCCACAAAGGCTTTATACGAACTCTTTATTTCCTCTTTTCCATTCTTTCCTAGCTCCTGCCCAGCACATCTATCCAACATCTTCAACACAGAAATCTCAACCATTCATTAGCACTTCACTGGATTGGTCCAAAACTAATTATCTTCTCTTCCCCATTTCTACCTTCAGTTGCTTTTAATCACTCCTTTTCATATCTTCCAACATTCTACTAGCTCATTAATGTCATCATCACTAAAGGAACAACTAATATTTATTGAGTACTTGTAACATGCTAGGTACTCTGCCAAGGGCATTTTATGCGTAATTTCATTGGATCCCTACTAGACAGGTACTACGATCATTTCCTAAATATTAGGAAACCAAAGGTCAGGATGGTACTTCTATGGGTAAACAATGGAATTCAACTTTTGTACTGACTTCACAGCCAGTTTAACCAGTACACTCCAATGCCTCAAGTCAAAAAACCTAGGAATCATCCTCTCATTAATCATATCTAATCACTTACCTAGTCTAACCAAATATACCTCCTCCATGCCCCATCAGCTCTACCTCCGCTGCCTTCACACAGAATAACAACCAGCATCTAGCAAGTCCTCACTATATGCCAAGCACTATTCTTTTTTTAAGATTTATTTATTTATTTGAGAAAGAGAGAGAGCGCACACACATGAGCAAGTTGAGAGAGGGGAAAAGGGAGAGAGAATCCTTAAGCAGACTCCCCACTAAGCACAGAGCCTGCCTCTGGGCCCCTTCTCAGGACCCTGAGCAGAAACCGAGAGTCCAGTGCTTAACCAACTGAGCTACCCAGGTGCCCCATGACATTCGATTTAAAATTTGCAGCTTTGGGGATGCCGGTGTGGCACAGTCGGTTGAGCACCTGGCTCTTGGTTTTGGCTCAGGTCATGACCTCAGGGTAATGAGATCTAGCCCAGCGCAAGCCTCCCTGCTCTGTTTCAAGTGGGCTTGGGATTCTCTCTCTCTCCCTCTCCCACCCTCACCTGCTCCCCACTCACCCTCTCTCTCTTCTAAAATAAATAAAATCTTTTGAAAAAAATTAAAATAAAATTAGCAGCTATGTATCACTAAGTAGATAAAGTCCAATTTTCTTAGATTGGCACACAAAATCCTCCATGTTTCTGTTCAAGTCAGTTCAACAAGTATTTAAGTGCCTACTGTAATCAAGGCAAAGTGCTAAGTGCTCTGAAATGAAGAATACACCAACCCCTGACTACTATTCCAACCCCAAACAATGCGCCCTTCAGCCAGAGTAACTACATGTGGATCTCATAATGGAACACCCTACATGTTAGTCCCTTTGCCTAGAAGGTACTGAGAAAATTCCACAGCAATTTGAAGAGTTAAGTGCCTAGATGAGGTCCTTCCTAGCAAACTCCAGGCAGAAATGCTCCCTTTTCTAAGTCCCCACAGCACTTTATTCAAATTACTTTCAGCTAGCTAATGGAACAGGTATGGATCAGCTTCCAATAAGACTATGATCACCTTTGGGGAAAGAACTGACCCTTGCCATCAATGTCTGAGCATGCAGCAGGCAACAGGCACTCTACTACATGCTGAATAAATAAATAATGAAAATGTTCTAACTTGATGAGAAGAGAGAAACAAGATACAGAATTGGGAATGTTAACACACAAGTGGGCTAAATTAAAAGTAGTGTTATTGTACTTTGGTTCTGATTTGGCCTACATTTTATCCCTCTGGGAAAACTCACATGTGGGACTTGGACAAGCAAAAAGGCAAAACTTCGTTTTTCATGGCTCAACAAAGCTTTGACAGGCCAAAAAGGATACTAGATCAAACGAAGTCCATTTTCTAAAGGGTTGTGGAGATGCGAATCAAACCTGTCAGAGAAAATAAAACTGATCTACCGAGATCCAACTTCATCAGCGCTGCGCCACACTACATGCAAGGAAAAAAAATTTAAAAATCGGTCCTGGGAGGAAAGCCAATTGATAAATAAGTACTACTGCTGCAAGAACGTGAAATTCTTAAAGTGAAGGCAGTTCCTATAAACCAGGGCTCGCAACTGGTTCCTCCTGCCACTGCTTTACACTCAACTTCGTTTCTGGTTTCTGTGATTTAAGGAGAAACATCTATACAATTAAGCGCATGCCTCAGTGTACTGTAGCCCCTGGTAGATAAGAACGTCTTGATTCCTAACCTTAACTGCAAACTGAAATATCAGAAGAAACACTACATATGCCAAAAGTCCTTGTCTGAAACATACGGCATAAAGCTTTGAAAGCGAGCGAGATCCTTTCTGAATGGTGCTTTGTGTGCAACTGCTTCCAAATCGAGATCCATATTTTGAAATCACCCCCTTGAAGACGTGAGATCTCCCACCTCTCCAGCCTCAAGGAAAAGGTGAGAATTCATAGGCAACAGGCTGGGACGTTGGGTATCTCCTTATTCCTTTCCCGGAGAACAAGATCCGATGTAAGGCAGCTAGTGCCACTCTCATTTACAACACACACGCAGGAAATAAAAAACTCATCCCCACCTCTCCCCTCCTGGAAAAAAGCAAACGACGCAAAGAGCAGCAACACTGTGGCTGGAACCACCAAATGGTAACAGCCGGGGGCCTCCCGCCTCTCCCAGGCGCCTGGCCGGCGGCGGGCACCCGGCTCAGGATACCCCGTCCCTCCCTCCCCGGACCAGCGCGGCCAGCCCCACAGCGGGTCTGGGTCTACGTCTCCCACAGCCCGGGCGAGCGAGGAGCAGAGCTGCGGAGGTCGGCCGCCTCCCCCCGCGCGGCGCTGCCCCACACCCCGCCGACGCCCGCACCTGAGGCGGCTGCCCGGGACCCGCGACAGGGCGCGGGGCCAGGCGGGCAGGGCAAAGTTACTCACTGGGAAAGCGCGGCCGCCCGGGGCGCGCACCGGCTCCCGGCGCCGCAGCCCAGCGCCAGGTCCGCTCTCCGCGGCCCGCTGAGGGAGCGGGGAGCCAGCCGGCCTCCGCTCCGCCGGGAAACGCCGCAGCCGGGGCCACCACCGCGGATTTCCTGGCAAGAAGTAAACTCTGGCCAAGACTTCACTTCTCAACCGCCCCTGCTGCCTGCCCGGGGGCGAGCGCCGGGGCCGAGCCGCCCAACCCGACACGCACCTAGGCCAACCGGCTGCAGCACAGGGCGGGAAAGAGGCGGGCCAGAGAGCGGCCCCACCTATCCGAGAGCTCAGGGGGAGGGCCAGGCCGGGGCCGTCACTCCCGTGTTAGAGTGAGCCCACTCCGCCCCTCGCCGCCTGCCCTCCCCCACCCGGTCTCGGCTGTCCCTGCCGCCCGCCTGATTACCCCGGCCGCAGAAGACACGCTCCAGAAGTGGATCAGCGCTCACCGCGGACCGCCGCAAGGAGAGTGGAACAGCTGGGGGAGGCAGTGAACATCTAGGGGAATCGGGTTGGGGGTATGAGAACAGGTGGCGCAGGAAAGCAGAAATATAGGTGTGCTGAGGCGAGAGAACTCTGGGGTAAGGTGCGAGGGACGGAGACTGACCGGGCTGAAAAGGGCGAGGGGAGTAGGAGGCTGAGGAAGGGAGAAGGGGGTTTTTAGCGAAGAACACCTGAGGGGACGGAGAGAGGAGAGGTACGAAGGAAAAAGGAGGGCGGGGAGCGAGTCCGGGTGGTGAAGGGTTGCCGAGGCGGGGGCAGGGGCACCTGGGAACAAAGGTGAGCGGGAGGTTCCGCAGGTGAGGAGGTTTAAAGGGTAAAAGGAAAAGGAAGTCCAGAGCAAGGAGTACGTACGTCTTACAGGTGTAGAAAAGATTCTAGGAGAGAAAGGAAGGGGGGAGAAGAGCAGTTTCCTTCCAAACTCTCGCTCTTCCCCACAAAGAAAAAAACGAAGGCTTATTTTGATCCATTTGAGGTGTGCAGCTGCAAGATCGCGGATGACAAACACAATCTTAAATTCATCCTTTTCTGTTGTGAAATTCATCAAGGTGTATTGATCAACTATAGTTTAAGCCTGTCATTCCCTGAACACCCCCCGCACCCCTGCCAGGCTTGGGGTCCCGCCAGAATAACACATGCCCCACGGGTCAAGCGGCATGTCTGAAAGAGGTCTGATTCCGCCCTAAGGAGGAAAGTGATTTGGGGGCGGCAGGTAAGGCCCCGCCCCCTTCGCCATCACCTGGCGGAAGGTGCCAAGGGCTGAACGCAAGCGCCCACAGGCGGGTCTCGGCCTTGAGGTGGGCGGGGAGACCTACCCCACCTGTCCCCGCGAGCTCAGCAGGCGGACTGGCTCCGGGAGCTCCAGGTGAGCAAGTCCAGTCTGGCCACCGCCCTCCTCGCGCCGAGAGCCTGGCCTGTGGGCGGGGCCTTCGGGCGGAAAGTACACGCCCCGCCCAGCGGCTGGGCCTCGCCGCGCCGCTGCGGCACCTCCTTCCTCCTTCCGTCCTCGGCTCCTTCCGCCCGTCGTTCCTTCCTTCCTGCTTCGCCTGCACGTTTCGCGGTATGGGTTAGCGCTTCCGATCCGCCAGCACCACCTGAGGATCACGGAAGCCGGCCCGCGATGGAAGAGGACCAGGAGCTGGAGAGGTAACGGCCGTGGAGGCGGGTGGGCCGTGGGGACGGGCGGGAGTAGCAGGCCGCGCCCTGAGCCGGGAGCGTGTGGCCGAGGGGCCGGTGGCCGATCGGGGCCTCCGCCTCCGCGGCGCGGTCCGGCCCGGCAGCGAAGGCCTGCCTGGGAGGACAGGAGAGGAGAGAGAAGTGGGCGCCTGAGCGGGGAGAAGGGGCCCCGACTGGGAAGGGAAGGGAGGACACATGTATTTGAGTAGAGGCGCTCGGTACAACTAGGTGTCCTGGAGGGAGCACAAGTTATGAGGCCGGAGTTAAGTCCCTGAACTGCCCACCCGAGCGAGAACAGCAAAAGTAAATAAAACTAAGGTAAGACCACGCACCAGGCCTCCGTTCGCCGAGTGCTGATATTGGTGCGTTCTGTCAGGCCTAAGCCCCTGTAACTGGCCCAGCTTACTCTGTGTAGATTGCTAATAAAGCCAGTCTGTGCGCTCAGTTCTTTCTCCCTCCTGCTTGATCGACACTTCTCAGAATTTCCATTCTAGTTTATCTCCTGCAAATGGAAACCATAGTGGGGCCTGCGCGATGATAATCTGCAGTCCCAATTTTTCAGAATATTTGTGTTTTTGTATGCCTTTAAATACCCTTTCATTCTGTAGCAGAGCCCACCCTATTCTAATCCTATCCCTTTCTCGTGATTCTGCCGAAAGACTATTTTAGGAAACATTTAAGTTTGTGCCCTTGTGGCCATGTGGACGGTCAAATGGAGTAGGGAGAAACTGGAGGCAATAATTAAATATTTACTGATAGAATATGTGGAGGCAGGAAAATAAGGGGCTAATACAAATAATTCTTTGTAATTGGAGTGAATTAGAGTAATACGTTACAATTGTGATATAGTAAATGAAAAAAAGCTAGTTACAAAACCATATTCAGTATGATCTCATTTTTATAAAAAATATGTGTGTAGAAAAATATCTGGATTGAAGACCTCAATGGCTGAAGGCGAGAGGAAGACAGCCCTGGAAATGGTCCAGGCAGCTGGAACAGATAGACACTGTGTGACATTTGTATTGCACGAGGAGGACCATACCCTAGGAAATTCTCTTCGTTACATGATCATGAAGAACCCGGAAGTGGAATTTTGTGGTTACACTACAACCCATCCTTCAGAGAGCAAAATTAATTTACGCATTCAGACTCGAGGTGCTCTTCCAGCTGTTGAGCCATTTCAGAGAGGCTTGAATGAGCTCATGAATGTCTGCCAACATGTGCTTGACAAGTTTGAGGCCAGCATAAAGGAATATAAGGATCAAAAAGCAAGCAGAAATGAATCCACATTCTAGTCCCTTATGCACTATACGGGGAGGACTATCCTCTAGGATATTCTCTTCGTGATCTTGCAAAACCCAGAAGTAGAAGTTTGTGATTACAACACGATCTGTCCTCCAGAAAGGCGTGCTTCTAGCTATGACCCATTACAGCTGTTGGAATCCCCGCAAGAACCTTTGTACTCATCTAATAAATTCCCTCTTTTATTTAAACTAATTTGAGTGGTTTTTGTTGCTTCATCTGGAAGATTGTTTCAGGGGTTTTTTTGTTTGTTTGTTTTTCTTTTAATTGAGCCAACAGTGAAAGTAAGAAAGCTAGGAGAAAATTAGAGGCCTAGACAAGGGCTTTGATCAAGGGAATTCAAAAGAATATGCATTCATGGCTGTGATTGGGGGAGAGGGAGAGATGCAATAGAGCATGACCCCAGATTGGTTGAATGAAAGAAAGAAAGGTGGAAGTGGGAGGAGGATTTAGCTTCTTGCTAGATATTTTTAGTAAATCATGAGAGAATTACATCTTTTGCTATGACTGGTAGGTTGGGCAAGGGTGGGGAATAACTTGAAAGAATTGTGAGAATTCTGGTTTCACAGGAGAGTTAGGTAGGATCTAGCTTCATCTTTGTGGTAGCATATTCTAGGATAGATGCCAGTTTACTGCTTTAATTTCAGGACATTAATAAAATATTTTGCCAGAAAGGACCTAAGTAGGTCCAGAGAGTTTATATTTTAAAAAGAGAAAGCTGGCATGACCAGGCAATATCTTCAGTCCTTATGTGGGTATCTGAGTATAGCCCAGGGTTACAATAAGGATGGGGAAAAGGAAATTTCCGTGTTCGGAAAATGATTTTTTTTTTTTTTAAAACTTGAAATATTAGTGAACCACTTCTGAGCTGTCTTATTAATCTCATCAACCTTGTTTCATATCTGTCCTACCCCAGCTTGACTCTTAATTCACCCTAAATCTTTTGTCAACTTTGAACCTGAGCATCCCACCCCCAGCACTCTGTGCTTTGGGGCCTTTGTTTTTGCTGTTCCATATTCCTGGAACACCCTTACTCTGCTGTGCCCTAGGGTACGGAAGAACTTACAGGTCAGACTCCCACCCTAGTTTGGGCACTTGTATGTGCTTTCATTTTACTCCTGCGTTTCCCAGTCTTGGATTTACTATGCTATTGTTAGTGCTTATATTGTCTACCCACTATACTGACTTGCAGCACAATGCCTGATGGGTAGTAGACAATTAGAAAATACTAGCTAAATCCATGTCGGCAGTATGGCATGTAACCTTTTATTCACTCAGTCAGACCTCCTTCTACTAGTCTGGCCTAGAACCTACATTTCCTGCACTCAACTTCTTTGGATAAATATATTTCTGTATTTATTGAGTACCTGGTATATACCAGGCCCTGGGATGGAACAGTATTGGATGAGACACAGATCTTGTTCTCCTAGAGCATACATATAGGAGTGAGTTGTTTTTTGTTTTTTTTGTTTTTGTTTTTGAAACTTGTAATTCTGTGAAAACATACAGGATCAAGATAGAAAACGAGAGGGCAATCAGCTTTTGGTATGGAAGTCAGGGTTCCAAAGATTACAGGAAGAGAAGGAGCTAACTGCAAAAAGAATGTTTTGGTGGAAGAGCTGTGCAAAGGTCTTGAGGCAGAAAACTGGAGGTCTGAGGAATTAAAGATATTGAAAGATTTGCTTATCTGTAGCATGGTAAGCAAGAAGGGCGTAGGCTATGGATAACGGTGAGAAGAGCCAGGGTGGTAAGGGGTTTGGATTTTAAGTATAGTGGGAATGACATCTGAATACTTTGAGTACAGTGGAGGGATGAATTTGAGAGGAACTCTTAAGAGTGTCATTGGCCTGGAAGGGCAGCAAGCTAGTGATGGACAAAAGAAGGTTGATTTGAAATATATTTTAGAACTGAATTGGTACAGGATTGGTAAACCTCAGGAATTAGATATGGAAGGTGAGACATGAGTCCCACTTAGGTTTGGGGCCAAAGTACTGAAAGGGGAAGCTTAAGGGGAAAAATAGGTTGGAAAGTGGAAAAGGTAACTGGAATCAAAAGGTCCATTTTGAATGTGGTAGACAGTGGATATATGAGTTGGAGGCCATGCACAACATCTAAGCTATAGAGAAACTGTGAGTTCTTGCCATCAAAATGATGTAAATCCATAAAAACGAGGGTGATAAAAGAAGTAGGTCCAA